AAGGGAGGGGGTTGGGGCGGGGCTTCGAGGGGGTCCCGGTTCCGCCACGGCGCCTTGAAAGGGGTGGGGCCAAGAGGGGACTTGATGCCCCACCCCTTTCAGGCCGACAAAGGTTTTGGAATAGGTGGGGAATGAAGGGGGCGGGGCTCTGGGGGGCGGGGCCTGCCCCTAGCAAGCGCAGGAACGGGTGGGTGCGGGCGAGGCCTCGCTGAGCCGCGCCCCCTTGCCGTCGGCTGCTGGGGCATCGCTGACGTCTAGGCTTTCGTTCATCTTCTCGCAGATGACGTCAACTAGGCGCTCGAAGACCTGCTTGACGTTGATGTTGTCCTTGGCACTGGCCTCGAAGAACTCGAACCCTGTGGTGGGGCGGGAAACCCGGAGGGCTTGCACGACTGGGGTTTGCACGCCTGGATTTGCACAATGGGGGTTGCTTGCACGGCTTTGCACGACTGGGGCTTGCACGACTGAGATTGCGCGCGCGGATCTGCACGAGTGTGATACCCACGAGCGGGGGTTGCAAGCACGGCCTGTAGCGCCCCCCACCCCGACCACGGGGCCCGGGGCGGAGCTCCACGGGCAGCAGCGGCAGTAGTAGGGCTCTTCTCTCCCGCAAAGCTTCGGGAGGGGGCGGGGAAGCAACGCGCGGGGGCTCGGCCCGGAGTAACCCTTCCATGACTGGCGTGAACAAGGACCCCACGCAAGGACCCCACGCAAGGACCGGGCCCGGTGAGCGGGGGGATGCCCCGGATCGGGGGCGGAGGTTGGGCACCCACCGAGCTCGTGTGCCAGGCGCCTGCCCTCCTCTGTGGGCACCACGCGGTCGTCCTCCAGGTCACACTTGTTGCCCACCAGGATGACCTGGGCGTTGTCCCACGAGTACGTCTTGATCTGCGTCGCCCTGGGGGCAGTGGGGACGGGGTGAGATCCCGCGATCCTGTTTCCCCCCTCCCCGCCCATCAGCCCCCATGCCTTTCCCGCAGCTGGGAGAGAACCTAGGCGTCCAGGCTCCCGCCCCCACCCCGGAGGCCCTCACCAGTCCTGCACGGCGCTGAAGGACTCGGCGTTGGCCACGTCGTAGACGAGCAGGAAGCCCATGGCGCCGCGGTAATAGGCCGTGGTGATGGTGCGGTACCGCTCCTGCCCCGCCGTGTCCTGCAAAGACACCGCCCATCCCTGTCTCAGTTTTCCCTTCTGCCCCAGTGCGGCCCGGGAGGGGTTAATCCTTCCCTTGGGCCTCCAAGTTCTTGCGGGCTCCGCCAGGAGGCTCGGAGCCAGGGGATCCTCCCTTCTCCCGCCTCCTCGGAGTCGCCGAGATTCTCCCATGCCTCAGTTTCCCCTTGTGCTCCAGCCCAGCCTGGAAAAGGTTAATCTGCAAGTGCTGGCAGTGAAGGAGGGGCCGCAACCCCCCCGCGCTGTTGGCCCGGCTTGTATGTCCCCCCCATCCCAGTGGTGCGCGGGCCTGGCCGTACCCATATCTGCAGCTTGACCCGCTTGGCTCGCCGGTACACGGTCTTGACCTTGAAGTCGATGCCGACGGTGCTGACGAAGGAGGGTGTGAAGGTATCCTCGGCGTAGCGGAACAGCAGCGATGTCTTGCCCACACTGCTGTTCCCGATCAGCAGCAGCTTGAACATGTAATCGAAGCTCTGGTCCGCCGCGTCGGGCGGCGCCGGGCGGGGCTCCCCGGCCGATGCCATCTGGGCGGGGAGGGGGTCAGGGCACCTGGATTCTATTCCTGCTTCGGGGGTGTCCTGGGCACCCGGACGCCTGGGTTCTTTTCCCAACCGAGTGATACTGGGCAGTTCATTCCCTTGCACCGTGCCTCAGTTTCCCCTCCCGTCCCATGCTCTGTTGCCCGTGATGTGCAAGAGACACTGCGGAAGCCGGGGGTCCCAGTGGCACCCGGTGCTGCATGTCCACGGCCTGCCCCAGCTATCTAGGGGTTCCCCCTCTCAGCCTGGGGGGGAGAGGGGAGAAGGGTTGTGCCTACATCCCCATTCGCAAGTGCGGAAACTGAGGCGGGGCCTAAATGACCTACCCAGGGGCACGCCGTCATCGGTGACAGAAGGAAGCAGCCTAGGTCATACACCCTCCTCCCTCCCTCCCCCAGTGCTAACCACTGCACCCCTCCCTTTGCGCTAACCACTCCACCAGATGACCTTTCCAGGGGATCCGCCCCGGCAGCTCCAGCTCTGAGTCACTGTGTGTGCACAAGGCTTTGCTCACCAGGAACCAGGTAATGCTGGTGCCCCCCACCGCCCCGCCCCTCTTTGGTCCTAACACATGGTGGCTACAGGGCCCAGTTAACCCATGCCAGGTGCTCAATCCTGGGAGTCTGTTTGGGCGTCTGGACAGTGTCCGGCAGCCCCTACCCCCGCCCAATCCTGGCCTGGGGAGCCATGGCCCTGTCACTGCCTGGGTCACGCAGTCCAGTCGCAGCTGCCTCCCAACCCACCTGACCGGTTCTGAGCCTGGGGTACCGAACCAGGGACCTTCCCCAGTCCTGCCCTAGTGCCTCCTCCCCATGCTGCCCCTGCCCAGAGGTGGCTGGATCTGAGGGTCTGCTACAGCTGGGGCTTGATCTCAGCCTGAGGGGTCTGTACAGCGCCTGGAATGGCCCTTATTGCAGCCGGGCAGGGGAGGGGGGGTGTACAAAGCCTGGCATGGCCCTGATCCCAGCCCGGGGGCCTGTACAGTGCCTGGCATGGCCCTGATCTGAACCGGGGGGAATCGGTACAGTGCCTGGCATAGACCTGATCCTAGCCTGGGGTCTGGCTTGGGGGGCAAGTGCCTCTTAGCCCTGGTCCTGGGGGTAGCAGCAGTTGGGGGCTGGGTGGGTTGCAGCTGCTAGGGCTATTAACCCTTCTTGCCCCTCATTGCTCTGATGCTGACAGGTTCCCTGAGGTCATAGTGACCTCAGAGGCGGCTCAGCCAATTCCTACCTCCTCTCCCTTGCACGGTTCACAGGACACTCTTTGATTGGCTAGCACTGCGAGGGGGAGGCGTTCGCATTGGTCTACGGCACTGCCAATCTGTAAGGAGAGGGTCTTCGTGGCACCGTGGGCATGTGGCAGGGCGGGGCCCATCTGGGCATCAGGACAGGGGAAACTGAGGCAGGGGCCTCCTCAGGGAGTGCCTGATTCCTTCCTTACCCCTTGCCAGTGCCTGTCAGTGTCCGCCCCTGCCCCACAGGGGTTGTTCCCCGCCCCATGCCCGCCCGCCGGCCAGGCCCTGTTGATTCTAGAGGGAAGGGCCTGTTGACACATGGCGCAGCTGCTCCTGGTGCCGGGGTCTGAGATGCAGTTGTCTCTGAGGTGTGGCAAGACCAGGGCTGGGTATAACGGGCCTAGCTTGTGCTCCCGTCCCCTGGCGCAGACCCTCTTCAGGCCAGGGTTGGTCCTGCCTCAACAGGTGCTGAGCAAGCTGAGGGCAGCACCGGGCACCCCCCGGGCACTCCTGCCTGGGGCCCGAGCCCCCCACCGCGGAGTGCTAGAGGTCTCCTCCCCACCCCAATTCCAGCTGGGAGCTCCCTGGAGGCCATGCCAGGGCGGATTTACTGCCAGCTTCCGGGCGTCTTATCAGTCAGCACCCAGCCAGGCTGGCTGGGAGGGGTGGGGGTACTGGAGGCATCCCCCAGGTTGAGAGCAGATCCCCTTTGCCCTGTACCAGGTGTTGCACATGCCTTGCTGAGATCAGGGCTCCAAAGGCAACCAACCCTCTTCCCAGTCCTCTCCCCCTACACACGCCCATTTCCCAGGTGGGAAAACTGAGGCAGGGACCCTCCAGTGACTGAGGGAGCAGGCAGCACCTAGCCCCTCACCCCAGAGACCCTGTCTGCCCCCCACTTCCAGTCCTATCACCACTAAGAGCCAACGCCGGGGGGGGGGGGGGCAGGAAGCCGGCGGGGGCAAGGCAGGATGTGGAGGAGGAGGAGAAGGGCGGAGGTTCCAGCCCAAAAGGGGGGTGGTCTTGCCTCCCCCACAGCCGCCAGCAGCCCCTCTCCCCCTCCTCTCCCCTCCCCAGTACCTGGCAGGCGCCTCTGCCTTACGCGGCAGCTCTAGGAGCAGGAAGGCAGAGCGGCCTCAGGGCTGGGCACAGCCTCCCCGCGCTCCTCCCAGTGGCCGGGCGCCTGGCTCTGGGCGGGGGTTGTGGGGAAGGGCTGGCAGGTGCGGGGCGGGGGCAGGTGCGAGGCGGGGGAAGGCCGGTACGAATTAGCCCCACGGAGCAAGACCCGAGCCACAAGGATTTAATGCCCGGCCAATGGGGGTGGGGTCGCCCTGGCCCTGATCTACCTCTTCCGTGTCCTGGGGCAGCCCCCTGCTTGGGGGGTGGGGCTGGGACACCCCCGGCCTCCAAACTCCCCCTTTATATAGCCTGCCTCCGCCCCCGCCCAGCCCCCTGCAGATCCTGCCCCCTCAGAGGCAGTTTCCCCGTCCCCCACCGAGGCCCCTCCCAGCAGCCAGGAGCCACCAGTACCTGGGTTTGTGCAGCACCGAGCACAGGGCTGCCCTGGGAGGGGTGGGGGGGCGCAAGCCCCCACCTTTATTGTGGCAGCTACGGGTGGGGAGGGGGGGGCTGGCATCACCTGGTGGCCCCTTGAGGCAGGGCACGTGCCCGTCCCCGCTGAGAGAAGGGTTGGGGCATAGGGGCACGAGCTGGTCTGTGACCCCGCCCCCACTCAGCGCGCACACACACACACACACACACACACACACACACACTATGTTCCAGCCACAAGCACATAGGAGAGTGTGTGAGTGCACATGTGGGTGAGCATGTGCAAGTATGGGATTGAGTGCACACGAGTGTCAGTACATGTGCATGTATACGAGTGCACACGTAGGTGCACACGTAAGTACATGAATGTATGAGTGCACACATTATTGTATGCGCATGTATGAGTGACTGCACATACGTGTGTATACGAGTGAGTGCACACGTGTAAGCATAGGAGTGTAGATGTGCACGTGTGAGTGCACGAGTTGCACATGCCTGTGAACACGTGAGTGTGTGGGAATGAGTGGGTGAGTGCCTATGAGCGCACAGGCAAACAGACGTCAGTATGAACGAGTGAACACGTGTGTGCGCATCTGAGCAGCCGTGTGTGTACAGAAGTGTGTGCGCCCAGCCGTGTGTGTACAGAAATGTGTGTGCCCACAAGTGTGAGTGCACACGGGTGCGAATGCATATGCACGCATGCATATACCAGTGCGAGTGAGTGTGAATGCATGTGCGTGTGAGCATGTACTGGTGTGAGTGCCTATGTGAGTGCACGTGTGTCAGTGTGAGTGCACACACGTGTGCCCATCTGCTCTTCCCGTCGCACAGACCCAGCTCCAGATACTCCTGGATGAATCTTTATTGACACCAGAGAGCAGAAGCGGCGGCGCCGAGAGCAGGGATCCGCTCCCAGACCCCACCAGGGGGCGCTGCACAGCGCAGGGGGGCCATGACACCTGGGTTCCATCCCCAGCGGGACCCCCACCATCCTGGGGGGCTATTAGAGCTCCCACCCTCGCCCACCCCACGTAGGGCCAGAACGCCTGGAGAGTGTGCCCCCGGGATGTAGCTCCGCCTCCTCAGATGTGGGCAGGGCTTCTAAAGTACATGCCCACCCCTGCGGAACAGGCTCCACCCAATGGGGGCGGGGTTAGCGGAGAACACGCCTTCTGAGGAGGCGGGCTCAACCCCGATATGGGCGGGGCCGCCGCGTGGGGGTGGGATTTACGGGGAACACGCCCACCAACCCCAGAGGCGGGGTTCCGCGAGGCTCCACCCTGATGCGGGCGGGACTTCCGAAGGACCCGCCCACTCCTCGGCGGAGACAAGGCCCCGCCCCGGGGCGCTGCAGCTGGCTAGGCGCCCCGGCGAGCGGCGATGAGCAGGGCGGCGCCGTTGCAGAGCAGCGCGCCCAGGTTGCCCAGCGCCGAGAGGCCGTGGGCTGCGCTCCGCGCCCAGCCCCCGCTCCCGCTCAAGCGCCTGCAGCTGCGCCGTGGCCCGGGCCGTTGCCGGAGCGAGCCAGCGGGCGTTGAGACCGGACAGCACCAGGGAGCCGCCGAACAGCCACACCTGCGGGGGTAGAGGCGATGGCGTGGGGCCCGGGACGCCTGGGTCCAAGCCGCTTCAGAGCCCGGACGCCTTGGTTCCAGCCCAGCTGGGGAGGATGAGGGAGGGGATGGAGCTGGAGCGCTCAGCTGCCATCTGCGGAAAGGGGCTTGGAGCCAGGACGCATGGGTTCTATTCCCGCTGAGAGCCAGGACTATCCCCGCCTGGGGAGGGGTAGATGGGAGCTCGGACGCCTGAGTTCCACCCCCGTGGCAGGCTGGAGCTTGGACCCCTGGGTTCAGTCGCCGCTGAGAGCAGGGGCGAGGCCAGGCGGTACCTGGAGGGTCTCGGCGGAGCTGAGCTGGTGCCAGGGGCGGCCGGCGGCAGCAGCAAGGGCCAGGTTGAGGGCGGAACAGCCCAGCAGCGTGTGGAAGTACCAGGGGAAGAGCTTGCTCTGCACCTGCCCGAACACGTGGCGACCGACCCCGCGGGCCAGCACGAACCCTGCAGGGGGCAAAGGGGAGAGAGCGCGGGCAGCCGGACTCCTGGGTCCTCTTCCCAGCAGTGACAGGATAATGGTGAGGCGGGGAGGGATAGTGGTTCCAGCAGTGGGGAGCCTGGACACCTGGGTTCCTCCCCCGCTCCCGCTCCCTACCTGAGATGAAGGTGACCCAGACCTGCATCCCCCAGGCCGTCGCCAAGACGAAGAGGTGGGCGACCCCCACCAGGCTTCCGCCATCCCCGTCCTTCTGCATGCTCCCTGGGGCGGAGAGGACAGGGTCTGGGGATCGGGCGGGGAGACAGATCGGGGTTCCCGGGCAGGGCGGGGCGGGGTGCAGCGCGGCAGGACGCCTGAGTTCTGCTGGCGCTTCCAGGGGGACAGTCACGTGGTCGGCGGGATTGAGCAGCCTGGACTGGACCCCAGGCATTCTGGCTCCCCCTTCCCTCCGCGGGGTGCATATCACGCCGGCCGGCCGCGGGCTCACGGAGCGGGCAGAACCCGAAACTCACCCCCGCCTTGCCACCTACCTCCCAGCTCAGAGCAGCTGCCCACCAGGCCCCGCCCCCTTCCGGGTTCCCACCCAATCCCGACGCCAGCGGGCGGCCTGGCCAATGGCGGGACTCCGCGGTGGGGGTGGGTCCCGTGCCCCGCCCCCTTTGTGACAGCGGCGAGGATAAAGGGGCGACGGAGGCGGCCCGAGTGGGCCAAACTTCATCGCTTGGCGGAGCCGAGAGCTGGAGCCCCGCTGTATGGAGGCGCTGCGGGGCTTCGTCCTCAGCACCACGGTACTGGTACCGGCCCGGCGCCCCAGGCGGGGCCCCTCAGCCCCCTGGTCCCTCTTCAGCCTTGCTGCTGCCCCACACTGTAGACCGGCAGCCCCCTATCCCCAGCCCCCCAGCCCTGCCCGTGTCCTCAGCCCCGAGCCCAGCCGGTCCGAGCCTCCGTCTGTTCCAGGAGACGACGTTAATCCAGGGGGAGAAGAGCAGAGCCCCCGGGCCCAACTGCTACCTGTCCCGAGCCAGCAGCAACACGGGCCTGGTAAATGCCCCTGTCTCGGGGGTGTCCCCCACCGCCTCCCACCTGCGGGGGGGAAGGGGGGAACGTGGCCCTTGAAGAAATACCCCCTGCCCTTTAATGTCTCCTGGTGTGGATGGAGCTCTGCCTGGGCCGGCTCTGACCCTTCCTTTCTGCTCTTCCTGTCTCCCGCCCGGGCAACTGCAGACTGACGCCTTCAAGGCTGATGGTAAGAGGAGTCTGGGGACGGGGCCAAAGTCAGGGGCGGGGCCGGTCTGGTCACACCCCCTTGGGGCAGGCGGGTTGCGCCAGGTACCCTGAGCATCCTCTACTGGGATGGGGCAGGTTCACGGCAGGGATGTGGGGGCAGGGAGACGCCGGCTGCGGGGATGGCAGTGGCCACCCCCTGCCCCAACTCCCAGCCTCCCCTGCTCCGTGCCAGGCCTGATCCTGCCCATGCCCCTGAAGGACGAGTTGGAGATTATCAAGAGTCAAATGCAAGCCCAGGCCCAGGTGAACCCGGAGGGGGGGGATTGGGGGCCTCAGGCCCATGATTGGAGCCCAGGAGTCCTGGCTCCTCGCTAGGAAGCCCCTCGGACCTCCTAGGTAAACTGAGGCAGCTTTGCCCGGTCCCCTACAGGCCTTCGAAGCCCTGAGCCACTCGCTGTCGCTGCTGGAGCAGGAGAGCGGGCAGCAGCAGCAGAAGATCCAGCACCTGGAAGGTGAAAAGGGGGACGCCATCCTCCTGTCCCAGGGCTTGGGTGGGGGGGGTCTCCGCTTGCCCCTCACCCCACTTTCCTCGCCCCCAGAGGAGTTGCGGCGGATGGGCCCGGAGCGACTGGAGCGGACGCTGGAGCAGCAGCTGCAGGAGCTGCGGTTGGCGCTGAGCCGGGAGCTGGAGGCGGCCCGGGGGCAGCACCGAGACCCCCTGGACGGGCTGGCCAAGGACGTGATGCAGAGGTCCGAGGGGCTTATTTGCATTGACCACGCCCTAATTTGAAGAAGCCTTGCATTGGCACTGCTGCGGGGCGCCGCTCCAGAATATTTGCATTGGCCACGCCCCCGGTGTCCCGCCCTCTGCAGCCATGGACAGACCCGAGGGGCAGCGCGCACTTCGCCCAGCTATTTGTATTAGCCCCGCCCCTACTATTAGCCATGCCTCCTCCGGTTAATTGCATTCCTGAGGAGCATGGCTTACTTTTGCCCACCTATTTGCATTAGCCCCGCCCCCTGGTACTAGCCACACCTCTTCCAGCCATGGGGAGATTGCCCACCTTCTCCCAGCTATTTGCATTAGAACCCCCACTCCGTATCCACTCCCATTACACCATGCCTATCTGTCGCCCCCCACCCTCTTGGTGGGAGGTAAAGTGACCCCCAACCCGTGTCCCCCCAGCAAGAAGCTCCTGTGTGAGGAGCTGGAGTTGGTGCAAGGAGAGATGCGGAGGATTCACCAGAAGCTCGGTACGTACCCGCGACTCCCCTCCGTTCCCCCAAACCCAAGGGGAGGGCATCCCTTATCAAGGGTCAAATGCAAGCCCAGGCCCAGGTGAACCCTGGGCCTGGGCCCAACCTGCCCCCCCAACCTAAAGGGGACAGCCCTGAGCTGAGCCCCGCCTGCGGAGCGGAAGTGGCCCCGGGATTTGAACCTAGATGTCCCAAAACCCAGCCCTCTTCCGTGCTCCCTACTTGTAGCCATTAGGTCATAATGCCTAACCCAGAACTGAGAGGGGGCGGGGAGCAGAACCCAGGCATCCGAGCTGCCAGGCAGCTGCCCCCTAGTCTCCCCCTGAGGCACGGGGGGGGGGGGGCAATGAGGGCCTGGGTGTGACCCCTGCCTCGCAGAGGAGCAGGAGAGCGACATCACCCGGAACCTAGCGAGCATCAGGCGGATGCAGGAGAACCAGGTGAAGTGCCGGAAGGTTAGTGAGGGCCGGGGACCCCCCCCATCCCGCCAGGGCACCTCTAGTGGTCCCAGGGGGGGCTGCATCCCAGCCCCATGCCCCCCTCCTCTACCCCCCCAGTCTTAGCTGGGCCCTGATACCCCTGTTCCCCCTTCCCAGATCCTGACCCAGCTGAAAGCCCGGGAGGCAGCAGGGGCCCCGGAGCCGACGGGAGGCAGCGGCCGGCAGGTGCAGGCGGAACTGAGCCACATCTGGTACCTCCCCCCACCCTTCCCGGCACTTGGGATCCCGATCCACCCATTTGCCTGACTGGTATACTGAGTTCCAGCAGCCTGGTGCGGCCGGCCCTCTCCCGGGGGGGCATGACTTATTACATGGAGGGGCAGGCTGGTAACCGGGGGAATCCCCCTTTCTACCCCCACTCAGGTCGGCTCTCCGCACCCTCCAGAATTCCCTGCCCGGGAGCGAGGCCATGGGGGGCATGAGGGTGACGGGTGAGTAGCAGCAGCTTGGGGCGGGGGGGAGAAGAGTTGGGGACTTGGGGGGCAGGTAATGGTGCAGAGTTTGGGGGCAGGGAGCAGCATGGGGAGTGGGGGAGCAGACTGGGGAATGATTTGGGGCACAGGTAGATTGGGGGGCAGAGCTAGGAGGCAGCTAATCCCCCTCCCCTCCCTTCCAGGTCGGAGGAGCCGCCGGCTCCGTCTCTCGGTGGCGGCCACCCCCCCCGCCCACACCCCCCGAGACGGCAGGAGCC